TGCAATGTTAAGATTTAGCCTAGAAGAAACCTATGCTGATACTTCAGAGAACTGGAAAAACCTGCAGGTTCAAAGTTGCTATATGTTAAAGCTTTTGAAACGTAAACTTCTGAGCTGGCAAACTGAGTATTTCTTATTATGCTCACTGTTGCATTAGCAAGCACAAGTGATCCCTGTCTCCATAAAAAAAAAAATACAATTTCTGTGTGAAAACATTAATTTTGTTATCCTTTGAAATATTGAGAGTTGGAGAGCAGACTAAGTGCAATACATAGTATATTGTTTACTTATTCTGTGCTATATTGGACATCAGCAATTCAAGTAGTTATTGCAAAGAACAAAGATGTGTATCACATTACTATCTCCCTTTATCGCCTGCTATAGCCCTCTGATCTCTGTATCTATGTTATGGTACTACTGCCTTCCCACTAGGACTGTATGTTCCATTGTCTTTTTTTTTTTTTTCCTGAATAGCATAGTACTTCACACTACCTTTACTCACTCTTAAGTGTTTCAACTTGAGCCCATTTGTTTTAACTTCTGCATGCCACACCGCATTTAAGATTGGTCACCCCATCAGTTCTGCATTATTGCAAAACTCACAGCTGAACTTCACAAAGACGCCATCCACCACCGGGCTAGCAGCAAAAACATCAACAAGGGCCTTACATTTCCTCCCATTCAACATTCCTCTCTTGTCCAAGGGTATTAACACTGAGTTTTCTGTGTCCTTGTTTTACTTGCTATTACAGCTCCTGGAACAGCAATCCCCAACATTTTTCTAGCTGAACCCTGCTGCTGTAGCTTTCCTTCTCATTTCCTTACTTTTCCTAACCTCTACTTTTTTTTTTTTTCTCCTTTGTCTCCTTACACTCCTGCTCCTTCTCCTGTAACGGCGCCGGTTCTGTACGGTCACCTTGTAATCTGGCGGAGTAAAAAGATATGGGGCTATACACCTAGATAAATCTCTCTCCAGTCTCCAGAAGTGCTCCCAAGCACACACACCCCCCGGGGGGCACAGCTAGAAGCAGGTGAGATGAGTTACCCTGCCACTGCTCCTGTGGAATAAGAGCCAGTACCTAGCTGCACCTTGCCTGGAACACCTTGCCCCTCACTACCTGTGAACCACTGCTGTACGAGGAGGTCTTTGGCACCCACAGCTTGCGGAGGCAAGCTGGCTCGCTCTTTTGGACTCTCTCTCAAAAGGACGATGTATAAAGCGTTACTGGCAGACTTGCTGCACTGCAGTTCCAGTCAAGTTAGAGGCTATCCTTTTTTCTTATTGTCTGCACAACCCAGGAAATACGCAGCTCTCATTAGGAAAGCTTTAACTTCTCATTTTCTCTAATGCAACCTTAAGTTTCAGGTTAGTTACATGCACAAGTCAAATACCGTGTTCCAGGTACCATCGTTCACATCTCATTTGCTTCAACCAGCTAAGCACAGGACAGGGAAAATAAAAACTGACAACAAGCTTTTCTGTCTTGTCATATTTTACATTACCTGCCGTCTTCTCTAGGAAGGCAGAAAAACTGTATTCCAGAATATCGCCCTAAGTAAAAGGTCATGTCGACACCACAGAGAAAACCATAAGCTCAGTCAATTAACATCTGCAGAGACCGGCTGAGCTACAGCCAAGCTACTTTCAGACTGACACCACCACGGCTGCCCATCACCTACCCTGTAGTCTCCTCTACCAGGAGAGAGATCCCATTATAGATGCATGGGAAACATCTGCACAAGCAAGCTTCATGGCTGCACGAGCAAGTTTCCCTGAAATAATGCAACGCGCGGGTTTAAATTACATTGGCTGTGTGACGCTGCTAGCTCCTGTTCTGTTGGAGATGCACAGCAACCCACCCATCAAGAAAAGTAAATTCACATTAGATGAGAAAAAGAGAATCACCAAAGCTGAGTTACCATTGCCCAGGCTCCATGCATACTGTCAGACTATCTATTGCTCCCCTTTGCTGACACAAAAGAAACTGTCCAGAACAGACACGCAACTATCTGAGCACAGCAGACTGGCATCTGCTGAGGAATTAAGCATTCATCTTCTTGCAACCTGCTCCCAACAGCTGCAATAAATTACATTTTGACATTTTTGCCTACTACCAAAAAAGCAATTTGAAATAGGAATACACACCCTGTCACAGTAAGTACAATACTTAAAATGAAAACTAAAAAGGAAGCAGAAACGTACGCAAAAATACCTGGGAGGTGTTAAACATTGCAACAAATATTTTAGCTTTGAGGCAGACCTAACATTTGTCCTTTTATAAACCTATAACCGCACAGAGCTTCTGGTCGCACCTTCTAAAATTTCAATGAGCATTCAGTCAGACACAACTTACAACCACAAGCAGCTCCCATTGGTATGACAAATACTATTGCACCAGTGAGACAGCACTAAGAGCTACTCTGAGTTGTCATGTTTGAAGGACTGGATCTTTATTGCATGCCAGGCTGCATTTTTAGACATATGAATTAACGCATGGCTCCCCTTATAGTGACTGTTATCACCGAAACGCCTGTAACACTATACAAACGACTCATTTACTGCTTTCAGCAAGCAAAGGAAAACATGGTACTCACTATAACCTTGCTATCTACACCACCAGACATCGGAGGCAGTCACTCACTGCATCCCGCCAACCCCTTCTCTGTGATTCCACTGTATCGGAAGGACCATCTGAATTTGGGCTCCTTTCCTACGCATGTGACGTTGTGCACCTTTTGCTGTGTCAGGAGCCTGGCACACAATCTCCTGCATGCTGAAAAAATATAATTTATCCTTTCCGAATCAGGATCAAAGAAAAGAAATCTAACGGAGTACTACTGTCCACGCGGCATCCCTCAGTGGCACACCGGCAGCAGGAGAGTGCATCAAGAGATCAGACTGCTACCTCCTCCTCCCCCGTGCCCATGTTTTCTTGAAGACTGTTTTTTCTAACGAGCCATCACGAGTGCTTGCTTCTTCCTAAAATTTCAGAAATACTCCAGTAATACTTAGAAGCTGCTGTTTAAACACAGTCCGGCTTGCTTCCTCTTAACATACAACTCACCATCCATTTCAACTAAACCCGCCACAGCACAGCACCATGGTTTCCACACGGATTACTCCCGATGCTGAAGTCGCAACCGCCCTACGGTCCCATGGGACAGCCGCAGCCAAACGCCGGGTGACCACGGCCGCTTCCAAAGCGAGAGGGTCCGCTCCACCATCCAGCCGCTCGCCGACGGGTGCGTTTCATCACTGCAACGCGTTAACAGACCACAGGACCCCCTCTCCCCACCGCAATCCAGACCACGGGACCCCCGATGACATTGCCGGAGGCTCCGATTTTAAATCTGCCGAGGGGACATTACGCTCTTCTGCACAGCCGCCGGCGCGGACCTAAATCACGTATTTAGCCCAGTATTATTCAACGTATTTAGCCTCGCAGTATTTAAAGCCCGGGGCTGGAAGCCGGCGGACCAGCGGGCGACGAGGGGGCGAGCGGGAGCCCACCTCCCCTGTGCCCACC